TCTCGGCCTCCGGGGCCCCTTGCTGGGCCCCGGGGCCCTAGGGCCGACACGAGACGACCCGGGATGCGAAGCCCAGCCGGCCGTCCGCGTCGTGGAGGAAGCGCAGCGTCGGAGCTCTCGGCTGATGCAGGGGCAGCCAGCATCGAAGCGCGAGGTAAGATCGGGACGTGCGTCGCATGGGGCTGCATCTCCAAACATGATCGCGTCGTGCAAAAATCCGGACGGGAGGTTTTTGGCTGTTTTCGCCCCCTGGGGGCCCTCGCCGGGCCTCGGGACTGTCAAAAAACGACTCAGGACGAAAAAACAGTCCCGGGAAAAGGGTCGGGACTTGCGGGGACGCCGTCCTGAAAAAATCAGGACGTCGCATGTCTGGGTCGGCACGGGGCCGGAGCCGAATCGCATCGGCCGAGCCATGATGCGCAACTGTGCGATGCAAGCATCGGGCCGCATCGGACCGCCAGGAGATCGAATTCGACACGATATCGAGTCGGATCGATCGAATCGGAATCGGGCGGCGACGGCGAGCACGGAGGCGCCAGACCAGCAACCAGGCCCGATTCTCTAGCAAGGACCCCCAAGTGCAAACACTGATTGGGGAAAAAAGGACCGGAACCAGAACATGAACCGGAACCTTGACCAGAAGGGGTTTTCTTTGAGGCTGGGGACCAGAGCCGTGAGCAAGGGCATACTCGGAAAATGACCAAGCAAGAAACGGAAACCAGAACAAGAACCAGGACGGGGACCGAAAGCTGAAGGGAAAAAAAACGAACCAGAACTGGAACGGACACCAAAACCGTGACCAGGCTCATCTTCGAGGCTGGAGAAAAAGGAAGCCAAAACCGAAACAAAACTGCGACCTGGGGGGGTCGGTTTCGAAGCCAGCAGAGACAAGAAACCGAAATCGGAACCAAAACCATAACCGTGACCAGGAGAGTGTTCTTCAAGGCCAGAAGAAAAAAGAAACCGAAAGAAACCAGAACAATAACTGGAACTATAGCCAGAACAGACACCGTGGGGGGTCTTCTTCGAGGCCGAATGAAGAAAATCACGAAACCAAAACCATAACCGAAACCAAATCCAAAGCCGTCCCAAAGCCCCCCCAGGGTCTTCTGAAGAACCGGAAAAAAAGAACTGGAACAGGAACCGGAACTGGAACCAAAACGGCTGGAAAAATACGGAGACTAGAACCCAAACTGGAACCGGAACCAAAATCATGACCTGGGAGGTCTTCTTCCAGGCTGGTAGAATAAAGAAACCGGAACCAAAACCAACACCGAAACCGCAACCGTGACATTGGGGAGTCGTTTTCCAGGCGGGAAGAAGAAAGAAATGGGAATCGGAAGTGGAAGCGGAACCAGAACAGTGACCAAAGATGTCTTCTTCGAGGCTGGAAGAAGAAAGAAACTGGAACCAACACTGGAACCGGAACCAAAGGGGTCTGCTGAAAGAAACCGGAACATGAACCAGAACCGGAACCAAAACCGTTACCTGGGCGTTTTTTTTTTCCGGGCCCGACAAAGAAGAAAGAAACTGGAACCGGAACCGGAACCAGAACCGTGACCAGGGGGGCCTTCATCCTGCAAGACTTACCTAAAAACAATAGGCGCGTTTAGATGCAATCGCGCCCTGGTGCAGGCGAGGAGACTATCGTATCTACTTTTCTGCAAGGACGACGAAATAGATATGAATGTTAGATGCGCGCCCCGGGCCTGCGCGGGAGCACCGCCGTGTCTAAACGCATATAGTTTTCAAGCATGTCTAAAATTCTGAAACCGTATCCATTTTTCTTCGAGAGAACGTACCTACCTAGACCCCCGACGTCGTGATTTTTTCACAACGTCGACCCCCAGAGGTCTGGACCCCTTCCCCGGGGCTGGTTTTTCATCCTGAGTCGTTTTTTGACGGTTCTGGGGCTCAGTGAGGGCCCCCGGAGGCCGAAAATAGCGAAAAACCTGCCGTCGTGTTTGTTCCACAACGCGAGGGGGTCTGGGCACTCGCATCTATTTTTCTTGCCACGCCGTGTCTATTCGTGGCGAATTGTTAGTCGGAACACATGCAATTGGCTGTGCTCTCGGAGCGAGCCGGAACCATGATGCTGGTCGAGGCAATGAGCACTCGGATGGGGATAGTGGGAAGCCGTGGCGATGAGGAGTGAGGAGACGAGCGACGACGACAAAGACGACGAGGAGTAGGATGGATAACAACGACGAAACGAGATTTAGGAGAGAACTGGGAAGGAACAGGGAACCGTAGGAGGGGGAGAGCGAAGAGGAGGAGGAGGAGGACGAGGACGAGGAGGATGCATCAAATCGAACGTGAAGGGGTCGGTGCGGGGTGCGGGCGAGGAGGTTTTAGGAGGACTGGGGAGGAGCGATTCGGACGATTAGCGCGGACGAGGAGGAGGATGAGGGCCCGCGGCGAGGAGGCAAGAGGAGCGAGGTAGAGTAGGAGGAAACGTCAGGAGGAGAACGTGGAGGAGGGGGAATCAGGACGGGGGTGAAGTAGAGCAAAGATCGAAGAGAATGGCTCCTCTGCTTTGTCCTCCTCGTCCTCGTGATCGTTCGGCTCGCCTGCCGTCCCCCCTATCCCATCGGTTCGTCATGATTTCCCACTTAACTTCCTTCTCCTCCTCCTCCTCCTCCTCATCATCATCATCATCATCATCATCATCATCATCAACACCATCGTCGTTGTCGCCTGGACTGGCATTTGTATTGTCTTCCCTGTTCGTGGTCATTCAGCGGCCTCGGCATGGCAGTGGAGACATGGCTCAGTATCTATTCGCATCTGTTTTGGTTAGACATGCTTTCGAGCGATGGGAGCCATGTTGAACCGTGTATAAACATATCTAAACATGTCTTACCGTATCCGAAAAACTACCACATTAGTAAGACAGCATATTTCTCGTATCTAAAACGTAAACAGTCGCATCTAAACGTATATACTTTTGAAAGATCTCCATTCGTATCTAATTGTATCACGGAAAACGCTGTAAAACATATGAATCAGGGAGAAATTTCAGATACCGTGCGGCCCTTCCGAATGCAACTGCCGCTGGGGAAATGGGCAACCAAAACGGGGTCTTCTTCTGGGCTGGAAGAAGAAACCAGAACCATAACCAAAACCGATAACAAGGGTCATCTTCGACGAGGCTGAGAAAAGAAAGAAACCGGAACCGGAACCGGAACCAGAACCGTGACGCAGTAGGGGGGCCTACTTCGAGGCTGGAAGAAGAAAGAAACCAGAACCAGTACCAAAACGAGAGCCGTGACCAAAAAGGTCTTCGTCGAGCCTGGAAAAAAAAAGAAACTGGAACTGGAACCGGAACCAGGACCAGAACCGTGACGGGGTCTTCTTCCGGACCAGAAGAAGAAAGAAACCAGAACCAGAAACAGAACTGGAACCGTGACCTGGGGGGTCTTTTTCGAAGCTGCAAAAAGAAAGAAAGCGGAACCAGAACAGGAACCGGAACCGGAACCAGAACCAGACGCTCTTTTCCCAGGCCAGAAGAAGGAAGGAAACCGGAACGAGAAGCAGAACCGGAACGGTGACCTGGGGGGGTGTTCTTCAGGACCCCGGAGAAGAAAGAAGCTGGAACCGAAACCAAAACCATCGTCGCAGCACGAACCAAGAACAAGAACCGGAACCGGAACCGGAACCCGAGCCCGAACCGGAGCCGAAACCAGAACCACCACCACACCCACTGGCCATCGCTCGGACGTCCATCCCCCGTTGCGTTTGTTCGACCTCGCGCGCGCATTCTCCCCACGATGATCCAGGATGCTCCTCGATGGTCCCCGAGGACAAGAAGAACGCACACGTCCGAGCGATGCCCAGCCCCTACTGCGACGACGACGACGACGACGACGACGACGACGACGACGACGACGACGACGGCGACGGCGACGACGACGACGACGACGGCGACGGCGACGGCGACGGCGACGACGGCACCGCAGCACCACCCCGACACCCGGAGGGGAGCGGCGGAGAGGGCACTGGCGCCCCCTCCGCCACGGCACGCCCCGGAGGGCCACGGCCACAGGGGGGGGGGGGGAAGGGGGGAGAGCCCCTCCGCGGGGCCTCCGCGGGGCGCACGGGCGTACAGTCGGGGCCTTGACCTAAGGAACCCTGAATAAGGAACGAGGCCCATTTTTTCCATAAGTTAAGCTTCGATTTCCGATCGAAAACATGAGGAAAATCTGAGGCAAGCTGCGAAACACGTAAGGAACGCGGAGCCCCTCCCCAAAGAAAAGGGTTCCTTCTTCAGGGCCCCGACTGTACACCCATGCAGCGGGGGGGGGGGGGAGAAGCGCCGATCTCACTGGCAGAGGGGGGGCCCTGGAGCCATGGGTAGACGCCGGTCGGCAGACGTGGGCGATTTCATGGAGTGGGAAGGCGGACAAAGTCCACTGGGCCCAGGCCCTCCCGGAGAAGAACAAGACACAGCAGAAGCATGCCGATTCTTGAAGTGGGGAGGCGCTTGAAGTAGACTGGGATCTGGGGATCCAAAAATACTTACTTTCAACGACCGGCGTGTATGAAAGGGCCCCAGGACACACAAATAAATACACACAAGTAAAAATACTCCCTATATTTTCCTATATTTTCTGGGCTTTTGTCTTCCCCCCCACTTCCCATATTTTCCCATATTTTCTGCCGAATCGCCGATTAATTGTGTCTGTGTTTTTTCCCTCCTGAGTGTAATCGTGTATGCCCGTTCCTGCGCGCTCCGCGGGGCCTATCCCCACCCGGGAGGGTGGGCCAGTTGGGCCGAGGCACCACTGTCCAGCGGGAGTTTACCAGCCTGGAACATATCCCTATCCCTATGCTGGGCACCTCCTCATCACGATGCCAATCTCAGGGATTCCCTAGTTTTTGAGGGCGGATCCCTAAGATTGTCATCGCCTTTTGGCGTGTCAATCTTAGGGATAGGGATACGTTCGAGGCTGGAAAGGAGTGGGGATCCGTTTGACGATGCTGATCGAAAGGGGCCCTGCCTTGATGTCACCGCCCCAGTCCACGTAGCTGGCGGTGAATCCCGCCTCTTTGAGCTGCTGGGCCATCTCGTCGATGGCCCAGCCCTTGCAGTGGAGGAGAAACAGACGGCGCAAGCATAAACTTCTGGAGGTCCGCGCGGACTTCTTGGATCTGGCCTGGACCCCAGCGCGCCCGGGGCGGCGCCGGAGGCGCCGCCGGGGAGTTCCAGCGCAGACCCATCAGCGCGGAGCCGAGCTCCAAAAGCTTATGTTTATGTCGTCTGTTCTTCGATGTAGAGAAACAGCAACTGGCCATCGCTCGGACGTCCATTCCCTGTGTTTTTGTTCGGTTTCGTGCGTGGCTTGTTCGCCAAATCATCCAGGATGCTCCTCTATGGTCCTCGCCGAAGGAAACATGCACACGTCCGAGCGGTGCCAAGACAACAACGGCATGAACATGCTTTCTCGGAGGTCCGCGCGGAATTCCTGGACCTGCGCTGGACCGCGCCAGGGGCGGCTCCAGAGGCGCCGCCAGGGGGCGCAGCACCGAGCCGAGAAGTTCCTAACTCGGGGATGGGCAGACCCCCCTTTAGTAAAACGTGGTTTAGTGAAAACGACCTGAGGCCCAAACCTGGCGGGCGCAAGCCTGGAAAATAACGGCCACGGCGCCCTCTCGAGAACCGAAAACGGACAATTCACTAATCGACGTGTCACTGTTCGGGGTTCTGTCCACCCCCGACTAACGGACTTCCGAGAGATCGTGTCTGTGCAATCTTTTCTCCGTCGGCCTTGGCCAGGCCGCAGAGGTCCAGCTGCGAGCTGGGGCCCGTTATTTTGTCCCCTGGCGAAATCCTGAGATCTTTTTTTTTGTATTTGTGTTTTCTTTTTTTTTTCCCCCCCTGTTTTTTCAATGTTTTCACGAAGCGAAATCCTGAGATCCTGGAGCGCAGTGTTTTCACGAGGGGCGCTCTCGCCCGAGCTCCGGCCTCGGGACCCTCACGGGGATGATCCGCCTTCGAAAAAGGATGCACGAGGAGGAGGAGGATGACGAGGAGGAGGGGGGGGAGGAGGAGGAGGGGGAGGAGGAGGAGGAGGAGGAGGAGGAGGAGGAGGAGGAGGAGGAGGAGGAGGAGGAGGAGGAGGAGAGGAGGAGGAGGAGGAGGACGAGGAGGACGAGGAGGACGAGGAGGAGCAGGCTGCGAGGGGCAAGTGGGGGGGAGGAGGCGGAGACGGGGGGGCAGTGGCAAGACGAGGCAGAGGAGGAGGAGGAGGAGGAGGAAATCTGGGCGAAATTTTTCCGCAGCGTCGGATCTCAGGGAACTGCGACACGGGACTTCATCCGTGTCCGCCGCCTGGGAGCCGACGTCCTGGTGCACTGGCGGGCGGTGGATATGAGAATATGTGGGCCTCTGGGGGCCCGAAGATACCCATATCCACCGCCCGTGGAGGTCCAAGAGGATCGATCCCCCAGGCGGTGGTTATGGATAAATTCCCGTCTCGGAATAACCGCCGTTACCCCGGGGGAGGGGGGGCGCGAGGGGGCTGGTGACGTCATCAGCCACCCCCAGCAATTCCCAAAACGGCGCCGGCGCGAAGCGTGACGTTACCAGGTGGCGGGTGGGTGGGGGAGGGGAGGAGCATCCCCGGGAAAAGACGTCATCGCGACACGTAAAACAACGCGCTCCTGGCGTGCGACTTCTTCAGGCCCGTGTCCGCGAGGGAGAACGCGGACCACCTACTGTCGTCGTCGTCGTCGTCGTCGTCGTCGTCGTCGTCGTCGTCGTCGGTGTCGACGTCGTCGACGTCGACGACGTGGTCGTCGTCGTCGTCGTCGACGTCGTCGTCCGCGAGGGAGAACGCGGACCACCTGCTGTAGGCAGCCACCTCACCCGCCGTGGTATTGCCCTCCTTGAAGTGCCGGGCGAGGGGCAGCACGGCCGGGTCGAAGGCGCCCCGGGTCATCCTGGGGAAGAGAGGCTGCGCCTGCTGAAACATACCGTGGTAGGCGGTGAGCGAGGGGGGGAAGTGAGAAGGGGCTTGCCTTCTCAGAAGCCTCGGAGGTCCCCGGGCCTGCTGAGAAGTTGTCCAAGCCTTCCCCGAAGACACAAAAAACTTCTCAGAAGGCGCGAGGGCTTCCGAGAAGTCCCGCCGCCTTCTGAGCAGGCCTCCTGCTTCTCATTTTCCTCCCTCGCTCGCCGCCGAATTGGAGGCCAGTCCACAAGACATCTTCCACAAGAAACCCAACCCTGAGACCCCAGGGCGTCGATTCATTTTTGGTGTCCCAAGAAACCCAGGGCACCCTGGAGGCAAGCAGAGTGTTTCTTGGCATGGGTCTCCACTGTAAACATAAACTGTCCCAGACACGACCGCGCCGCGGAAAAGTCAGGACGACAGGGTTCTGGCCATTCTCTGCCCCCGGGGGCCCTCGCCGGGCCTCGGGACCGTCAAGACACGGCCCGGGATGAAGAAATGGCCCTGGAGAAGAGGGCCGGGCCTGCCTGGAACCGCGTGCGGACAAAGTCAAAGTGAACGTTTTCTTATGCGGCGTTTCGATATTGAGCGGAAGGGTGGGGGGAAGAGCACGGGTGCGGGGGGGCAGAAGGATGCAGTAGGATCTCGCGGCGTCGGCGCGCGCCAAGGTGGACGTTTAACTATTCGGCATTTCGACATTGGGCGGAAGGGGGGGGGGCTGGCTCCGGACCTCTGCTTCACGCGACTGTTTGCAACAGCACGTCCTAGGGGGGAGACTCCACCTGCTGCTTGAGACAGGCTCCAAAAACAGCCAAGATCTACTCCATTTGGGGGAAATAGGGGGGGACGGGGGCCTGCGCCGATCGGCAAAACAGTGAATAAGAAAACGATCACAAAGCATCGCATGTCTGGGCTCGGAGCTCCGGAGGCTTATGTTTGCGAAGGGGCTTGCCTGAGGTGCTCTCATCTGGTCATCCGCATCATCCTCATCGTCGTCATCACCGTCGTCGTCAGCATCCTCGCCTCCATACTCGTCATCACCATCATCATTCGCACCATCGTTTCGCTACACCCCTCACACGTTTCGTGGCCCCATGGGAAGCTCCACACAAGGCCGTAGTGGCTGCCTGTACGGTGAGGGTCCATGTCGTCACACCCCTCACAGGCTTCGCGGCCCCCTAGGGAGCTCCACCCAAGGCCCCAGTGGCTGCGTCCGCATTGTGACTCGGGTCGATTTCGGCACCCCCCCCTCACACGTTTCGTGGCCCCCTAAGGAGTTCGCTGCACCCAAGGCCCAAGTAAGTGCGTCCGCATGATGACGCGGGCCCATTTCGGCACACCCCTCACACGCTTCGTGGCCCCATAGGGAGCTCCACACAAGCCCCAGTGGCTGCGTCCGCATGGTGACTTGGGTCGATTTCGGCGCGCGCACACACACACACACACACACACGCGCGCGCGCACGCACGCACGCACGCACGCGCGCGCGCGCACGCACGCACGCACGCACGCATGCACGCACGCACGCACGCACGCACGCACGCACGCACGCACACACACACTCTCTCTCTCTGTCTCTCTCACACACACACACACTTCACACGTGTTGTGGCCCCTTGAAGAGCCCGCTCCACCAAAGGCCCAAATGGATGCGTCTGCATGACGACTCGGGTCCATTTCGGCACACCCTCACACGCTTCGTGTCCACCTAAGGAGCTCCATCCAAGGCCCTAATTGCTGCGTCCGCATGGTCACTCGGGTCCATCTCGGTGCACCACGCACACGTTTCGTGGTCCCATAGGGACCTCGACCCAAGGCCCCAGCGACTGCGTCTGCATGGTGACTCGGGTCCATCTCAGCACACACACACACACACATCACACGCTTCGTGGCCCCCACAGGGAGCTCCACCCGAGGCCCCAGTGGACGTGTCCGCGTGGTGACTCGGGCCCATTTCGGCATACCGCTGACACGCTTCGTGGCCCCCACAGGGAGCTCCACCCGAGGCCCCAGTGGACGTGTCCGCGTGGTGACTCGGGCCCATTTCGGCATACCGCTGACACGCTTCGTGGCCCCCACAGGGAGCTCCACCCGAGGCCCCAGTGGACGTGTCCGCGTGGTGGCTCGGGCCCATCTCGGATCCATTTCGGCACGACCCTCGCACGTTGCGTACTCCAGATTTCGTAATAAAAGGGAGGGGGTCTGGACCCTCCAAGACAAGCCATTTCAGACCTCCCCCGTGGGAGAACCCTCCAAAACATCGTCCCCCTCCCTTTATTACGAAATCTGGAGTAGCCCATAGCCTACGCGAAGGTTGGGCTCTTCGGCAGGGTGCTTTGAGCAACCGGCGGGTGCGCGGCGTGCCACGGCCGGCCTGGCCCAGGCTCACCTGGGCTCGCCTGGGCTCCTTGGTCTTGTGTCCGTGCTGTCGTTGATGAGGCCTTGCCCGGGCTCCCTGCGATTCGGCCTCTCCTCCTCCTCCTCCTTCCTCCTCCTCCCCTCCTCCTCCTCCTCCTCCCTCCTCCTCCTCCTCCTCCTCCTCCTCCTCCTCCTCCTCCTCCTCCTCCTCCCCTCCTCCTCCTCCTCCTCCTCCTCCTCCTCCTTACCTGGCGTTGCTAGGCAACGCCAGGCAAGGTCAAGCAACGCCAAGCAACGCCAAGCAACGCCAAGCAACGCCAAGCAATACCAAGTCAGGCCGAGCAACGCCCAGCATTGCGAAGAAATGCCATCGCCAAGCAGTGCCAAGCAATACCAGGCAACGCTGGGCAATGCCACGCAATGCCCGGCAATGCGGTGCAAAGCGAAGCAAAGCAATGCCATGCACTGCAACACAAAGCAAAGCAATGCCAATAAACGCAAAGTAATGCAAAGTAAAGCAGTGCCAAACAAGACATAACAAATCACAGCAAAGCAACGCGAAGCAAAACCAAGCATCGCAAGACAAGGCCAAGCAACGCCACGCGAAGAAATGCCAAGCAGCGCCTTCCTTCCTCAATTACTTACTTAGGAAACGTTCCCCTAGTTGGGGTCGCGCTGGCTTCATTCGCTCTTTCTCGGAATCCTGTTCAGAGTCGCCGCGAGCGTGAGCACCTTCCGCATGGCGGCGGAGGGCGAATGCACCTCTGGTGACACGCACAGGCACAGGCACAGACACCGCTACCCCACGGCCGTCTCCCGGGTCGCATGCTGACCAGAATCTCGAGTCGAATCCAGCGGTGGCGACGGGGGCCTCCCAGGAGGCCCCCCCCAAAAAAGGGAAAACGAGGGAAGGGCAGCGGTAGGGGTGCCTATTCCTCCTCCGAGCCTCGTCCGCGCCGAGCTTGTTGATCGTGGACACCTCGCTGCTGTCGACGAAGTGGCTGAAGACGGCCTCCGCCTGCTTGGCCACGCCGTCCAGGATCTCCTGCGCCCGGGTGCGAGGAGGAGGAGGAGGAGGAAGGAGGAGGAGGAGGAGGAGGAGAAGTGATTTTGTTCCTGACTCGAGAGGAGGAGGAGGAGGAGGAGGAGGAGGAGGAGGAGGAGGAGGAGTCTCCTGCGCCCGGGTGCGAGCCTCTGCGCTCTCCTGCCCGGCCGGCACCACCACCGTGACCTTGTACGGCACGCAGCACCAGACCCCCTCGAGGACGTGCAGCTTGCCCTCCTCGGCGGGCCCTGAGATCCAAGCGTCGCAGGTTCTTTGGCAACGGGAGTTTTCGCTCGATCTCGAGTCCCAGGACCCTCACAGATCGGTCGGGCTCGAGAAATGACGCAGAAAGATGGGGCCCGGGGCTCCGGGGCGCGATTTCTTGCGACGTTGCAATTTGGTTGCAACGTCGGATCTCAGGGGGAGCAGGGAGGAGGAGGAGGAGGAGGAGGAGGAGGAGGAGGAGGAGGAGGCTGGGCCTGGGACAGAAGACCATCCTCCAAGAACATGGGACCCTCCGACGGCCACACCACACAGAGCATCCAAGGGCACCCTCCCCAGGATGCACGCTCGCCATCGCTCGGACGTCCATTCCCTGCGTTTTTGTCGGTTTCGTGCGTGGTTTTTCGCCAAATGGTCAAGGATGCTCCTCGATGGCCCTCGCCGAGGGAAAAATGCACACGTCCGAGCGATGCCAAGCACGTGAGCATCCAACGAGCACGAAGAACGTCAGGGTACCCTCCCCGAACCGACCTCGATCCTATACCTCGGTCCGGCCGTGGGGCAACTACCCTTGCGCTTTCGCGCTGCGCGAAGCGCCAAGCGCGAGGACCCTCGCGCGGCCGCGCCGCCCCCCGCCCTCCCACCCCCCCGGCACACGACGAGGGGCCTGCTCCTCGCTCGGAGAGGTCGCCCAGACCGCGAAGCGCGAGGCGCGAGCCTCTGCCTTCGCACCCCCTGTGGTGCAGGGCCGAACCTAAACGGTGCTTTTCGTTTTCGCTTTGCTTTCGTTGCCCTCGCTGAGGTCTCGAGTCCGCCTCTACCGCAAAACGCAGTCGACACGACAACGGCCCACGAGATCGCCAAAAACACACCGCTTAGGTCCGGCCCTGCCGTGGTGGTCCCAGAGAGCAAAGGAGAGACCGGCACCGCTTTCCCCAAATCCGGACCTCTCCCAGGGTGGGTGGCCACATGTGAACCCTGCCCCCACCCCCTTCGGTGGCAACTCATGGGAGCCTGCCATACAACATTGTCGGCTCTTGCGAATCGACGCTAGTCGACGCTAAAGCGACGCTAACCGACGCTAAATCGGCGCTGTCTCATCCACCCCCGGATGCTAATCGACGCTGATGGACGCTGAAGGCAGAGCTAAGAGGGTATGCCAGGCTCCCATGATCTGCTGCCGAGCACCCCCCACGATTTCCAGGGGGGGGGCTGGGGGTTCTCTCCGCTCGGGAGCTCCCGAATGAAGCGAGCCCCCGACCCCCCCTTCGGGCGCTTCTGGACCGGAGGCGGAGGCGGAGGCGGAGGCGGAGGCGGAGGAGGAGGAGGAGGAGGAGGAGGAGGCGGGAGGAGGAGGAGGAGGAGGAGGAGGAGGCAGGAGGGGAGGAGGAGGAGGGGGAGGGGGAGGAGGAGTGGGGGAGGAGGAGGACGGAGGAGGAGGGGAGGAGGAGAGGAGGAGGAGGAGGAGGAGGAGGAGGAGGAGGAGGAGGAGGAGGAGGAGGAGGAGGAGGAGGAGGAGGAAGGAGGAGGAGGAGGAGGAGGGAGGGTGAGGGGGAGGAGGAGGAGGAGGAGGAGGAGGAGGAGGAGGAGGAGAGGAGGAGGAGAGGAGAGGAGGAGGAGGGAGGAGAGGAGGAGGAGGGGGAGGAGGAGGCGGAGGAGGAGGAGGAGGAGGAGGAGGAGGAGGAGGAGGAGAAGAGGCGGGAGGAGGAGGAGGAGGAGGAGGAGGAGGAGGCGGAGGAGGAGGTGGAGGAGGAGGAGGAGGAAGGAGGAGGGGAGGAGGAGGAGGAGGAGGAGGAGGAGGAGGAAGCTTCCGGACCAGGACTTCGAGGCGAACCCAGCCGTGGCAACGAGGGACGCGCACCGGCGTCGGCATCTACGTCCCTTCCCCCCGAGTCCTCCTTCCACTTGTCCAGCAGCACGTCGTCCTCTGGAGAAGGCCCCTTCGGAGCGGTCCAGCTTCCGCCCACCACCTCAGGTGCTCGTTTTGGGGGACCTTCCTGGAGCCATTCGCTCCACTCATGCGTCGAAACTTGGGGTCGAACTTGATTCGAAGTAGGGTCGAACTTGAGTCGAGCTAGAGCCGAACTTGAGTCGAGCTAGAGCCGAACCAGCCGACCTAGAGCCGAAGAGACCCGTTCGATGGCCCACCCAGGGAACGAGGAACCAATGTTAGCCAGCGTGGACCCAACCAAGACATTGGTTTATTGCAACCTTTGCGGTGCAATCAACGTGGTGCATTCTAAGTGGTGCAATCCACTTTGACTGTCTTGAAGCTGTCCTCTCCACTGCTCGCGCAAACATCCCACCCACCCACCCGCAACTTGGTTTGCAAAACCTGTTAAGACCGACTTCGACGACACCGACGACACCGACTAGGACGACACCGACGACGTCTCCGACGACTTCGACAACGACACCGACGCCGACGCCGACGACGACGAAGACGACGACGACGACGACGCCAACGAAGGCGACGACGAGGGAGGAGGAAGGACGACGACGGCGACAACGACGACAACGACGACAACGACGAGGGAGGAGGGAGGACGGCGACGACGCGAACGACGACGAAGGAGGAAGGACGGCGACGCCGACGACGACAACGACGAGGGAGGAGGGAAGACGACGACGACAAAACGACGACGACGACGGCGACGAAATAGGAGGGACGACGACGAGACGCCGACGACGGACGACGACGACGTGAGGAGGAGGAGGAAAGACGACCACGGCGACAACGACGACGGAAACGACCACGACGCCAAAGAGGACGACGACGACGAAACACGAGGAAAAAGACAGAGGACGACGTAGGCGACGACGACGACGACGACGCGGGAGGAGGGAGGACGGCGACGACGACGACGACGACGACGACGCAAGAGCGCGCGCGCACGCTTTTGTTGAAAATCCGTGTTGCGAAACCTTGGGTTTTTGTAGGTTTTTTGGACGCACGATTTTGAAATCCTTCCGAAACCGATGGGTTTTGAAGGATTTCGGCATACGCGCGCGACGACGCGCGCGACTGCACTTCGTCCTTTTTTTTGCGGAGGATTCTCGCGACGGCACGCGCGCAAGGCGTTCGACAGATTTCGACATGCGCGCGCGCGACGCCCGTTTGGTAGCATTTTGTGAAAATCTTGAAAAACCTATGCTTTTCTTAAGATTTCGCAAGAGCTCGCGCGGAAGCTTTTTTAGCAAATCAGTGTTGCGAAACCCTGTGTGTTTTGTATGTTTTTTGGAAACTCGATTGCGAAATCCTTCCGGCACAGAAGGTTTTGAAGGATTTCGGCATGCGCGCGCGACGACGCGCGCGTGTGCACTTCGTGCCATCTTTTGCAAGGGATTCGTGAAAAAGTGCTATGTTAGAACAAAAAATGTCACCGCATAGTGTTTTCCACAAGGGAACCTCAGGGGGGGGGAAACCGGCCCAGCTGGGATGGTACGATTTCATATTTAGGATGGACGAGTGTGCAGAATCTATATGGAATTATACTATCCCAGGGGGAAGCGTTAAGTCCGGGGGGGGGGTAGACTCTGTTCTCTTTTTAGAAAGGAGAATCCATGTGGTGCAACGCAACGCAAAGCAACGAAAAGCAACGCAAAGCATTGCAAAGCATTGCAAAGCATTGCAAAGCAATGCACAATGAAACGCCTTGCAAAGCCATGCAAAGCAATGCAAATCAATGCAAAGCAATGCACAGGAATGCAATGCAAAGCAATGCAAAGCAATGCAAAGCAATGCAAAGCAACGCAAAGCAATGCGAAGCAATGCAAAAGGATGTAAAGAAATTCTAGGCAATGCAAAGCAATGCAGAGCAATGCAAAGCAATGCAGAGCAATGCAATGCAATTCAATGCTAAGAAACGCAAAGAAATACAGCACAATGCAACATGTGCAGAGAGATGCGAAGCAATGCAAAGCGGGTGGCGACGAGGAGATGGGCGGCGAGGAGGCGGCGACATGGCGGCCAGAGCGGCCCGCAGGCCCAGGCGACGTGCGGCAACGGGCGGCGACGAGGCGGCGACGACGACGACGACGACGCAAGAGCGCGCGCGCACGCTTTTGTTGAAAATCCGTGTTGCGAAATCTTGGGTTTTTGTAGGTTTTTTGGACGCGCGATTTGAAATCCTTCCGAAACCGAAGGGTTTTGAAGGATGTCGGCGTACGCGCGCGTCGACGCGCGCGTCTGCACTTCGTCCTTTATTTTTGCGGAGGATTCTCGCGACGGCACGCGCGCAAAGGCGTTCGACAGATTTCGACATGCGCGCGCGCGACGCCCGTTTGGTAGCATTTTGTGAAAATCTTGAAAAACCTATGCTTTTCTTAAGATTTCGCAAGAGCTCGCGCGGAAGCTTTTTTAGCAAATCAGTGTTGCGAAACCCTGTGTGTTTTGTATGTGTTTTGGAAACTCGACTGCGAAATCCTTCCGGCACCGAAGGTTTTTGAAGGATTTCGGCATGCGCGCGCGACGACGCGCGCGTGTGCACTTCGTATCTTTTTTTGCAAGGGATTCGTGAAAAAGTGCTATGTTAGAACAAAAAATGTCACCGACAAGGGAACCTCAGGGGGGGGGAAACCGGCCCAGCTGGGATGGTACGATTTCATATTTAGGATGGACGAGTGTGCAGAATCTATATGGAATTATACTATCCCAGGGGGAAGCGTTAAGTCCGGGGGGGGGGTAGACTCTATTCTCTTTTTAGAAAGGAGAATCCATGTGGTGCAACGCAACGCAAAGCAACGAAAAGCAACGCAAAGCATTGCAAAGCATTGCAAAGCATTGCAAAGCAATGCACAATGAAACGCCTTGCAAAGCCATGCAAAGCAATGCAAATCAATGCAAAGCAATGCAATGGAATGCAATGCAAAGCAATGCAAAGCAATGCAAAGCAAAGCAATGCAAAGCAACGCAAAGCAATGCGAAGCAATGCAAAACGATGTAAAGAAATTCTAGGCAATGCAAAGCAATGCAAAGCAATGCAGAGCAATGCAAAGCAATGCAAAGCAATGCAATTCAATGCTAAGAAACGCAAAGAAATACAGCACAATGCAACATATGCAGAGAAATGCGAAGCAATGCAAAGCGGGTGGCGACGAGGAGATGGGCGGCGAGGAGGCGGCGACATGGCGGCCAGAGCGGCCCGCAGGCCCAGGCGACGTGCGGCAACGGGCGGCGACGAGGCGGCGACGGCGGCGACATGGCGGCCAGAGCGGCCCGCAGGCCCAGTTCCTTCGAACAGGAAGTAAGAAGCCCACAAGTGCCAGCACCGTTTGGGGGAAAACTGCATAAGCATAACTTGCCGTCGCTCGGACGTCCATTTCGCGTGCATTTGTCGGTTTCGTGCGTGTTTTTTTTGCTCGATGGTCCAGGATGGTCCTCGATGGTCCTCGCCGAGAAAAAGTGCACACGTCAGAGCGATGCCGAGGTAAACTGTCGGAGGTCCGCGCGCGATCTCTTGGATCGGAGCTGCCACCCCCTCCCCTGACGCGCGGAGCGCGCCAGGATAGCGGCGCCGGAGTCGCCGCCACACGGGCCCGGCGCCGATCCAAGAACCCCGCGTGGAGATCAGAGACAGTGTTGTTCTTTATCTGTATATATATACATATATATATATATATATATATATATATGTAGAGAAAGATACAGGTATACATATACACATATATATATACACACATATTTAGAATTGTTGTGGAGCTCACAGAACGCATGTTTATTCTGACCCTCCGGTCTGACGTCTCGGGAACAATGCAACATCGCAAAAAAATCACCACCCGAGCCCCAGACCCCGTCCTTCTCCAAACAGCGCGTGCGCTCGAGGGTTCGTACTCGTGTTCTGAGGAACTGGGGGTTATCGGTCTGGCGGCTCCGTGCTCGCCGTCGCCGCCCCGTCGCCGCCTCGTCGCCACCCGTCGTCTGGGGGGGTTCGTCGGTCTGGCGGCTCCGTGCTCGCCGTCGTCGCCCCGTCGCCGCCTCGCCGCAGCCCGTCGTCTGAGCCTGGTTGTCAGTCTGGAGACGTCGAGCTCGCCGTCGCAGCCCCGTCTCCGTTGTCGCCGCCCCGTCGCCGCCCCGCATAGATTCTCCCGTTTTTTTAGAAATAGACTCTGCCGCACACCCCGGGATTATCCCATCCCCTTTTCGTATTGAAATTTGCATACGAGTTTGCCCCATAGTCCATCCGAGATATGAATTTACACCATTCCCAGGGGGGCGGCATCGCCCCCCCCCCCGCCACCCTTTGCAACAAACACTATGCGCGCACACTTGTTTCTCAGAAACCATCAGTTTTCAAAAAACCCTTTGCAAACAAAAATTATCCCAGTGCGACCCTATCTAGGAGTTGGAGCCTCTAGGAAAGCAACATTAGTAGGAGCGGTAAACGCCGTCCTCCTCCTTCTCCTGCCTGCACAAGCGGCCACCCAGAAGTTCCTTGACAGGTCCTCAGGGCGAAGACAGGTTTTTGTTCTGATGTTATAAACTGGTGAATTTATACCAGGAATTGCCCAGGCAACTCACGCGGTCAGACGAAGCTAGTGCCCCCAGAGCTCGATTCCGATCGTCGTAGTTGTAGCAGGAGCGGTAGTAGTAGTAGTAGTAGTAGTAGTAGTAGTAGTAGTAGTAGTAGTAGTAGTAGTAGTAGTAGTAGTAGTAGTAGTAGTAGTAGTAGTAGTAAGTAGTGGTAGTAGTAGTAGTAGTAGTAGCAGCAGTAGTAGTAGTAGTAGTAGTAGTAGTAGTAGTAGCAGTAGCAGTAGTAGTAGTAGTAGTAGTAGTAGTATAGTAGTAGTAGTTAGTAATACTAGTGGGGTAGGAGTAGTATAGAGTAGTAGTAGTAGTCGTAGTAGTACTAAGTAGTAGTAGTAGTAGTAGTAGTAGTAGTAGTAGTTAGTAGTAGTAGTAGTAAGTAGTTAGTAGTAGTCGTAGTAGTAGTAAGAGTAGTAGTAGTACTAGTTAGACTAGTAGTCATAG